AAAAAAAAACCATAGTTGGCCTATGAGTTGGCATTAGTTGGCATTTTTATTGAATTTTAAAATAATAATTTTTTTTCATCCACGTCATTTCTTCTTCCTCTTCCACTTTCTTTCTCCTTTACCTTTCCTTTTCTTTTACCTCTGCAAACCAGATCTGGGTCTCAAACTTCATCTTCTTCCTCCTTTCCTCCTCCCTCCTCCCTCCTCCCTCCTCATCCTTCTTCTTTCTTCTTCTTATTCTTTCTTTCTCTCTCTTCTCCCTTATTCTTCTTCTTTCAAACCCAGATCTGGCATTTTAGCAACCTCGCTCACCTCATCCATCTTGGACGTGCTCGTGCCACTGCTACTCCCCCGCGTTCGAGGTAAAGAAACCGCGTTCGAGCTTTCCAAACCACACTTTACCACCTAAACATGAATCGCCTTTCCCTTGTTAAAGGCCACCAAATCAGCACAAATAGACAACATCACAGCAAGCGCTTCAGCACTAACCCTTATTCCTCCCATCCTCATTGAATCAAACAACTTCAAAGCTTCTTGATTCCGCCCACATTGAGCATGACTTGACAACAGCGATGTCCATGTCACATCATCTGGCTCCAAACCTTCCAATTCCATCCGCTCAAGCATCTCAAAAGCACCATCACAATCATAATTCAATGCAAAACCCGAAATCATCATATTCAAAGAAATTTTGTTTCTTTCACACATTTTATCAAACAGATGGTGTGCAACATCCATTTTGCCCAGCTATGTGTACATCCCCAACAATTCATTAACAACATGAACACAGTTCTGATTTCTAGTTTGTAACACATGATTATGAATATTCTTTCCCACATAAGAACTACCCAGAAACGCACAAGCCCTTATAACCAAAGAGAAAGTGAAGGCATCACCAAAAATACCTTGTTTACGCATCTTGACATAAATTTTAAGGGCAGTTTCATAGTAACCATGAGAGACATTAGCTCTCAAAATTGAATTCCACAAAACCAAGTTTGAGGTATGCTCAAATGGGCTCGTGTCAAACAACTTCTGGGTATAAAAAAAAGCCCGAAACGAGCACAGATCAACACAATTCGGGCAACCAAGAATTCTAACCGATACGCACTGCCAATGAGGATCTGATTATGAACTTGTTTGCATTGACGGGCTGTTGAGCATTGCTGAAGAAGGTGATCAAATGAATCGAGAGTTGCATTGTCGGGAACAGAGAAGTAAGATTCAATACTGAAAAAGGGTTCATGATGGTAGTAGAGTATAGGGATTGAAAGGCTGAGATTTGACGGGAGGGGAAAGGGAAATACATTGAAATGCGAAGATTGAGACAAGTCGCAGAGGAGAAGCAACAGCAGCAGCAGTAGCAGTGGCACGAGCGCGTCCAAGATGGACAAGGTGAGCGAGGTTGCTGAAATGCCAGATCTGGGTTTGAGAAAAACCTAGATCTAGGTTTGAGAGAAGAAGAAGAAGGGAGAAGAGAGAGAAAGAAAGAATAAGAAGAAGAAAGAAGAAGGATGAGGAGGGAGGAGGAAAGGAAAAAGATGAAGTTCAAGAGAGAACCCAGATCTAGTTTACAGAGGTAAGGAAAAAGGAAAGGTAAAGGAGAAAGAAAATGAGAGGAAGAAGAGATGATGTGGATGAAAAAAAAGGATATCAAAAATTTTAAATTAAATAAAAATGCCACCTCATAAAAAAAGATGGCCAACTGTGTTTTTTTTTTACATGTCATTTGTCAAGCAAAAAAAGAATTGATTTTGCGGCATTTTAACGTGTCACCTGTCATTTAACTGACGGAAGGACCATTTTGGTACCAAAAATGAAAGTTTAAGGATAATTTTGGTACTTTTTAAAGGTGAGGGACAATTTTGGT